TTTCAATTTCATTGAATAGTTTGAGGAGTGTCGGCATTAGGTCTTCTTTGTATTTCTTGTAGAATTCTGCATTGAATCCATCTGGGCCTGGGCTCTTCTTGGTGGGTGGGGACTTAATTACATTTTCAATTTCATTAGCAGAGATTGGGTTATTCAACAGTTTTACATCCTCTTTATCTAGCTTTGGTACTTCATATGCTTCTAAGAATCTGTCTATTTCTTCTGTGTTATCAAACTTTTGAGAGTAGAGGTTTTCGAAATAGGTGTTGATGATCCTCTGTATTTCTATTGGGTCTGTAGTGATTTCTCCTTTTTCATTTCTTATTGCATGAATTTGAGCTTTTTCTTCCCTTTTTTTAATAAGGTTGGCTAGGGGCTTATCGATTTTATTTATTCTTTCAAAGAACCAACTCTTTGATTCGTTGATTCTTTGGATTGTTTTCTTAGTCTCTATTGCATTGATTTCTGCTCTGATTTTTATAATTTCCTCTCTTCTTTTGGCTTTGGGCTTGACTTGCTCTTCTTTTTCTAGCTGTTTGAGGTGTAGCATCAAGTTATTTATTTGTATTCGTTCTGTTTTCCTGATGTGGGAACTCAGTGCAATAAATTTCCTCTCAGGACGGCTTTCATTGCATCCCACAGATTCCGGTAAGTTGTATCTGCATTTTCATTTTCTTTTAGGTATTGTTTAATTTCTTCTGTGACCCACTGATTACTCAAGAGTGTGTTATTCAGTTTCCATGTGTTTGCGGAATTTTTGCAGTATCTTTTATCATTAATTTCTAATTTCAGAGCGCTATGATCCGATAATATGCAAGGGATGATTTCAACTCTTTTGCATTTGCTTAAATATGTTCTGTGAGCTAATATATGGTCTATTTTAGAAAATGATCCATGTACTGCTGAGAAGAATGTGTATTCTGATGTTGTTGGGTGGAACGTTCTGTATATGTCTATCAAACCCATTTGTTCACAGGTGTGATTCAGTTCTGTTATTTCTTTGCTCATTTTCTGTCTGGTTGATCTGTCCCTTGGTGTCAGTGATGTATTAAGGTCTCCTGTTACAATTGTGTTACTGATAATTTGAGTTTTCATTTCTGTTAATAATTGTTTTATATAACTGGGTGCTCTGGAGTTTGGTGCGTATATATTTAAGATAGTTATCTCTTCCTCTTGGAGTTTCCCCCTTACGAGTATGTAGGGAAGGGTAACTTTTCCATCAACTGCAGAATGGATGAGAAAGACAGCACATAATGGAAAGCTACTCAGCTATAAAGTAGGATAACTTCAAGGCTCTTGGAGGTAAATGGATGCAACTGGCCATCATGCTCATGGGTGAAATGATTCAGACTTATCTGAGTGAACACTGAGTTATTTCTTTAGCATAAAAAAACTGAAGGAGTTAGTGGGATCCAGAAAGCACAATAGATATTATGAAAGTGATTGGGGAGGAAATGTCTAAAAAGGGAAAATGGCAACCATTGTTAATTTCCCATTATCTTGTTTTGAATTTTTGTATCATTTCCATAATTTTGTTAGGTTTGGTTTTATTTGGTTTTGTTTTGTTTGATTTTATTGTGTGTGATGGTATGGACAGTTATTCTGAAGAAAACGGGAGACATTATGGTAGTCAATGTTGCTTTCCTGTTGTCTTTTTTGAATTCCTGTATCACTTTCATTGCTCTGTTCTGATCTGCTTTATTGTGTTTCATTTTATTCTCTTTTAAATAAAATTTAAAAACTGGGGATATGTTATTTATAATTCTTGTTTAAGATAACTAATTGGTCCAGCTATCCATCCACTCATTTTTCCTTCACCAATTAAATTAGTTTAAAAAATCTCTAATGCAATGATTTTCATGTAAGTTTTAAGATAGTCAATAGAAAGTTGTTATGGAAAGGCAAAACAATTGCCTCAAAATTGGTTACATTCAGTGACATAAAACACAGTAATTATGCCTAAAGCATAGAACCCGAGACGACGAGAGTCAAGCAAAATGTCTGTAAATGCATGCAGGGGCTGTGCCATTTTAGGATCTGGCCTTCACAGTCAAGTGTGATGAAAAGATAATAGGCAAGGAGATTGGATATGATGGCAAAAGTGGTCAAGGTTTTGGATTGTGGAATCTTATTTGGATACGGAGAGAAGTAAAGAATAAAGGAGGATGAAAGAAATATAATAGACGTGACAACAACAGAAAAACCCTGAATGTCTCAGTGGGATCAAAATAGGAGTTCTGGGAGCAACTGAGCAAGTGGCTTGAAAGGATAAGACACTGATAAGAAAATTCCAGTCCTTTAATTCCCTCCAGATCCCCTAACTTGCCATTTTAAAATAAATCTATGTACCTTGTTTCTATTACTTGGGATTATATCTCTTTACAGCCAATGGCATCTATGTTTCATTTTTTCTTCCTTTTTTCCTATTATCTTGATTACATCTGGAAATCATACCCTTTTCCTGCACTAAGAATTAGTAGTTTTTAAAAATTTTAAATTATTTTTAGCCAGATGTGGTGGCTCATGGCTGTAATCCCAGCACTCAGGAGGCTAAGACAGGAGGATTGTTGCAGGCTCAAGACCAGCCTGGGCTGCAAAGTGAGCTCAAGGTCAGCTTGAATTGTATAGTGAGATCCTGTCTCAAAAAGACAAAAAAATTTTTTTAAAAATTATTTTTAAAATTGCGGCATTTAATAATGCAAATGTCTAGGCTTCATTTCTTTTTTTTATTTAAAGAGAGAAAAAAAGGAAATAAAATAAAAAAAACAAAGCAGTAAAAGGGTACAAATAATACAGAATTTCAAGGAAAAAAATACAGTAAGATATCACTAGTTAATAGGTTACATATTGTCATCTTTGAAATAGTTGTCCAAATTATAAAATTAAAGCATGTAAAGTGAACATTGATACAATGAGATTGCAGACAGTGCTGATCAATGATCCAACAAAAGTTCAGTAATATGGATTTCCATCCTACACACTCAAACATACATGCAGTTATATCCCTTAGACCATCTTCTTTTCCTCTCTTTTTAATAACAATTACACTTTTTGTTTTTTTTTTTACTCCCACAATTCTTACTATTTTTTTGGAGAGAATAAAACCTAACGTGGCTAAACAAAACAGAGTTGGTTAGAACAAAAGGATGGGCATAGTACATGATGTAAAAATAGAATAGCAGGTGATCTAAAATGGTTACCATTGTGCCTCTTGCTATTTTTTAAAAAATTTGCCTATATCGTCAGGTACAATAGAACTGATCAAAACAGTACAGAACAAGACCAATAAAACCTACACTGGAGACCTTACAGAATTTCAAAAGAAGATAATAATCAAGCCATAATGGGCATCTTAGTGAATCTTATTGCCTTCAAAGTGGTTGCCTATACCCTCAAACTTGATACTATCAAACAAAATAGAATATAGTAAAATCTGACAGAACAAGATGGGGAGAGCAATACTGGGGATCATATCAGGTTAATAGGAAAACAAAAGAGTTACTATAATATATCCCGCTATTTTTAAATTTAGTTTTCCCTTAATTGAAAAAAAATGTAAGAAAAAATAGATTAATTTTAAAAAAGGGTGGGATTGAGGTAAAAGAGGACATTGCATTAGGACAACACAGGTCAGAACCGAACAATTTAAGCATCATTGTGTTTCACCCCCAGATAATCTAACATAATAGTAGTCACCATAGTGCCTCTTTCCTTGAATTATTTGAGTATAACTTCATATACTATAGCATCAAGCATATCAAGTCAGTCTGAAGCTATTCAAGAGAATGAAGAAATTACAGGGTATTTAGAACCAGTTAACAGAAAATGAACAATGGTTTCTCTATTATCTTTTTCTAGGCCTCATTTCTTAAAAGCCAGATTCTGTAGATCTTGTTGGCCAGAAGTCTTAATTTGTAAACCGTTTATATCATTCTAGTATCAGTGGATCATATAAAAGATCTTGAAAATCATACTGACAGTTCAAATAAAAAATTGGAATTTTATTTTGATTTTGGGGATTGAACTAATGGACACATGCATGATAAATATATGCTCTACCACTAGCCTTTCTTTCTTTCTTTCTTTCTTTCTTTCTTTCTTTCTTTCTTTCTTTCTTTCTTTCTTTCTAAGGGACAAGATGTTGCTGTATTGCCCAAATTGACCAAGTTGAACTCTTGGACTCTAACCATCCTCCTGTCCTAGCCTCCTAAGTAGCTGGATCTATAGGTGTTCACTACTGTGCCCACATTTTGCCATTTTTAATGGCCTTCAAAAATGATCTGATAGAGGCAAATTTCAGAATCTTTTAATTGGGCTTAATTTATCTTTTCTTTCTTAATTGCCTCCTTTTTCTCTACTATTCACTGGTTCAACATCAATGACAGGAGAACTAATGGGAACTCATCTAACAGTGGCCTAATGGTCTCCTGGGATCCAGGCATCAGTGGTTTGGGCTCTTGCCTCTTTTTTAACTTACCTTCACTTTTTTTTTTTTTGTCTTTTTCGTTTTTATCGGTACCAGGGATCGAACTCACGACTGCCTGCTTGCAAGGCAGGCGCTTATGCCGCTGAGCTAAATCCCCAGCCCCCCTGACCTTCACTTTCCCAAAGCAAAGTTCTATCTTTATGTAGTGAAGGATGTCTCTCATCCCGTCCTTGACTACTTTACAGACTTTAGGTCTAAGGATTTTACTTTTTCATTTCTGAGATTCCATTTGAGGCTGTGAGCCAAGTATGGTTTTACCTTCATTCTTGTACTCCTTACAATCACTCTTAACTTCCTTTTCCTGTCTGAAGACCTGATTCACTTTGGCTTAAGAATCTGCAAATGGTCCCCACTTGGAATTACCACCCTGCTCTCATTCTTTTCAATACTCATCCACTTATTTTTAAACTATTATTTATGGAATCTTTATAGGTTTTAGGCCCAGGATTAGGTATGTGATTAATCTCTATACAGTTACAACGGGGAAAACGGAAACAGAGGCAGAAGTCAATAGCTATGCTGTCCCCCTCAGTGGAGCATGCCCTAGGATGACCTGGCCCCAGAGTCTACACAAAACTCCCTTTACCTCTTGGTTCTTGAGGCTGTAGATGATGGGGTTGACCATGGGAGTAAGTACAGTGTAGAGGAGAGAGAAGGTTTTTTGGAGCTGGGGGACCATGTGGTCTGTTGGGGCCACATAGACTACAATAAGGGTACCATAAAACACCCCAACCACACTAAGGTGTGAAGAGCAGGTGGAGAAGGCTTTCTGCCTCCCGTGCCCTGAAGGTATTTTCAGTACAGCCCTCAGTATGAAAGCATACGATGTCACAATCAATAGAAAGGGGGCCAGGGTCAGAAAGCCCGAGATACTGATTCCAGTTCCCCACATGATCCTCGCATCCCCACAGAACAGGTCTACTACTGGAGCAAAGTCACAGAAGTAGTGGTCAATCTCCCTGCTGCCAGGACAGAGGGACAGAGGGGCTGCTAGGGCCAGAGTGAAGGCAGAGAAGAAGAAACCACTGAGCCAAGCACAAGTAGCCAGGCAGTTACAAAACCAGGAGCTCATGAAGACAGGGTAGTGAAGGGGATGGCAGATGGCCAAGTAGCGGTCATAGGACATGGCAGAGAGCAGGAGGCATTCAGCTGCAGCTAGGGAAGCAAACATGTAGAACTGAGTGAGGCAGCTGGTCAGTGAGATGACTTCTCTCCCTTGCAGGAAACTCTGTAATAGCCAAGGCATGATGTTGGAGGTGTACCCGATCTCTAGCAGGGAGAAGTGGCAGAGGAAGAAGTACATGGGTGTTTGGAGTGTCCGACTGGAGCCCACAGCCAGCAGGATGAGGATATTGCCCCCAATTGTCATCATATAGATGGTCAGAAACAAGGTGAAGGAGAGGAAGCCCAGGTGTTGTAGCTCTCCAAAGCCCAGGAGAATCAGCCAGGTGGTCTGGTTCTCACTGTCACCACTGGGCTGTTTCCTCATTTAGATCTGTGCCCAAAGGAAAAGACAAAAGTTAAAAATATTAACCCATATCCTGTTATGGCCATTGGTTTATTCCACCACTTTGGTTTTATCCTAGAGCAAGCATTAGTGACAAACCTTATTTTTTTTTTTATAGAAGAGAAACTAAGATCCAATGAGTTTGAGCTAATTACTCAAGGTCACTAAGGTGAATATTTTTCCTAGATTGTATTAAGAAATTAATATAGTATAATCATACCCTTTTAATCTTCTAGGTTAATTAAGTAATACAAAAAGGGATAATTTTCTTTGAAACTTACAAGTACAATCTGCATATACATGATTTTGAGAATAATTTGGTATGTTAAAGTCCAGATATTCTAATACCATTATTTTTAATGTAAAGAAATGGATCCTAATAAAACTAAAATAACCCACAGGCTATGAAGTTCATCTTTTCCTTTTTTTTCTGTTTAAATAAATATGCACCATTATGTTTCAACAAGTAAGACAAATGTTATGAATGTGAATGCTGAATCTGCGATATGCCACATCTAGAATGCCCACGAGGTGAGTTAGACAAATGTAGTCATTCTAATTAAACAACCAGGTAACACGGTAACAAGTTGGTTTGCAGCATCACAATAGTCCATTTAAAGTTTCTTTTCTCTTGAAGCCAGAGGTTCCATTTTGCTTCCAGTCTCATGTTATGTGTGTGACCCACCACAGAATGGGAACTTTTTGGACCCCCACTAAATGCCACAAACAGCTTTATCTCCCAAACCTTCCTTGCCAAAAGGAATATCTTGGGGTTGTCTTTCTAGATGTGAAGGTTTACCACAGCTTTGTTGCGATAATCTTTAATACACAATCTTTGGTAAACTAGGTAATCAACTGCAGCTGTCTCAGCAGAGACAGTAACTGTTACAGTTCGTTCAACTGGGAGCCAGGAGACCTCAGTGAGCGAGATTCTGGGGAGCTCCGAGATACCTTGAGTGAATGCAAGCACCACCACAACCACAGGGCGATCACTCTAGCTCTGGGGTGGTGGCAGAGAGACCCCATGCTCCCTGGGGAGCCTGGTGGTCACGCTGACCATGCTGGGAGCCCCACTGTGGGAGTCTGAAGTCAAGACTTGAACCTGAGTTTGCTTGATTTCAAAGCTTCTACACAGTATTCTGTTTAAAGTGCTGAATGATAGACATGTCAAAATTGGACAGGTGTGGTGGCACATGCCTATATTCCCAGCCCTTGGGAGGCTGAGGCAGGAGGATCCCTTGTGAGTTTGAGGCCAACACAGTGGGCTACACAGTGAATCTGAGGCCAACTTGACTACATAGCAAAACCCTGTCTCAAAAAAAAAAAAAACAACAATAAACAAACAAACAAACAAACAAAAAACAAAGGTAGAATTGGAAAGCATCACAGCAGTCTTCCTGCCAGCACTCTTCCTGTGATCTTGGCTGAGCACCCACAGAAGAACAAGTCTGCTAAGCTGTCTGGGAAGAGGGAGGTAGTTTTACTCTGACATCAGATACAGCACTGAGTCAGCCATTCAGTTCCCCTTCCAAGAAAGTCCAACTTACAAACCCAGGTAGCATCTGTACAACCTACCGTGTGAGAGACCTGGCTTAGCTCAGGTCCCACTCCTCTCTGAAGTCATTCTTGAACAAGTTGCCTGGGGTCCACTGGAAAAGTCATCTCCAAAATTTGCTGTCTGAGGTCAATTGGAAGCTGAGGATTTTTAATTTTTTTTGATTCTCTTGCCCTATATAGTCTCCATTCAGGTCAAATAATCTACCTTACATAAATGTAGGCTCATTTGAAATTCCTACTCTAATGTTAAGTTTCCTTCTCTTCAAAACTACAGTGTTATGTTAAACTGACTCTGAATCTCCTAAATCTAAACTCTGAACTAATTTCTATGACCAAAAAGTTACCATTGTTTTTGTTAACTAGAGAATTTGACCATTCAGCCTTGGTCCTGTTATAACTTGGGCCCCGGTATAAAATCCAAGGAGGCAAGAGACCGAAAATTTAGGTGGCAAAGGCTTTATTTCCAGGTCTGGCGACCAGTCTCCGGGAGCCAATTTGGAGACTGTCCCCCAGAGACTGAAGGGAGGACTTTAAAAAGAGGCTGGAGGAAAAGGTGTGTGTGTGGGGGGGAGAAACAAAGAAACCTGCAGAGCCATCAAACTTGTTGACCCGAATCTGGAAACCGTATTGCTGTCCACTTAGCTCTGACAATCTCGGGAGTTCCTGGTGTTTCTCAAATTACTCCCATTCTACAGACTGACATTATCTCGGAGTGGCACATCTGCAGCAATATTTGGGGAAGAAAGTGGACAGTTAATTATCCCAGGACAAAAAAAAACATTATCCCAGGACAGCTCGTTTTCACTAGTAGGTGCAAAGGGGTCAAGAGTTACAAGAAGTTGAAACTTAAGTTTTACAAAGATCTGATATCTAACTCATTTGATGCATACAGAACAAAAGGAAAGTACCGATTGAGGTTTGGGCCATAGTATTTCCTGGTAATTTCTTTGAAGCTAAACAGTTCTTAAAATTGGGGTAGGCTCATTTTATGACAGATCATCACCGGGTTGGGAAGAGGTCACCAGAAACCCAAATTCTTTATGGCCTAGATAGATAGGTGAGGGGAGAGGGAGGCAATAAGGCGCCATACAGAACAGAAAACGGCGGTTATGTGTCAAGGTCAGGGTAAAGGGTTAAACTCATACGCAAATCTCTCTGCACACAAGCAGGTTACTTTAAACAAGTATAAATTAATGGGCCATTCTAGTTTTCTTTAGCTCTTTAGTGGAGAATAGAGGCGCCTAATAGTGATTAACAACCCTTGTTAGCTTGTTTTAGCACAACTTCTGTAGTTTGTAGAGGGCAACAATGGTTAACATATCAATTAGGTGAGATTCTTGCAATTCTTTACAGAGGAGAGTATTGCTCAACATATCAATTAGGTCACTTAACATATCAGTTAGGGAAAAAGGATGAAAAAAAACACATTTAGTAAGCCACTTTACAGGTTTGCTATAATACACATATAACAAAGCTATTTTCTTAGAGTACAACAGTCCCTGGTGAAATACTTAAAAAAATCTTTTTTCAGTACTCAGATTGAACTTAGGGCCTCCATTCTGAAGCACATCCTCAAGTGCTCCATTTTAAAGCACATCTCCCTTTAAAATATTTTGTTTTACTCGATGTGGTGGCACGTGCCTGTAACCCCAGCATTTGGCAGGGGAATTGCTGTGAGTTTGAGGCCAGCCCAGGCTACATGATGTTCAAGGCCAGCCTGAACTAATAGTGAGATCCTGACTCAAAAAACCAAAAAATTTCTTGTTTTGTTTTGAGACAGGATCTCACAAACCACTAAGTTGCTCAAGTTGGGCTTGAACTTGCAATTCTCCTAAGTTCTCAGAGTAGAGGAATTAAGGTGTTTGGTGAAACTCTTAAGTAGATGTTTTATGTAATAGTTGGAGGTCTTATAATGTATGGTCAGGATCTTTGTAATGCTAATAGTAATGTGAAACTTCACATAATACCCCTTTCAGAGAGCATTAGTAATTAAATAGGTCAGGAGAAAGGAGGAGAAAAGGAGTTTATTGATTTTAGTAAAACTTCTAGAAAAGTTGTTGACTATGTGCTTACGTGTAACTCTTTTAGTTTGGCTACCATGCACCAAAATTTTTCATTAATGATTAAAAATCTGGAGGAAACTCACTATTAAAAAAAGAGAAGGTGGTGCTCAACAGTGCTTGGAGTAACCAACGTAAATATGCACAGCTCATCAAGCTTCAGACGATATGAAACAAAGAGTCAGTATTATAGTGGCAACCATAATTCTAAACAATTTTACCTTTTGAAATCATAAACTACAAACAAGATGCAATGTAACAGAGGCACATATGCAATCTGCACTAGGCATTAATAGTTGAAAAAATACAAGAAATGTAAGACCTGACTTAGCAGCCATTTGTGCAGGTATTTTGTTGTTGCTGACTTCCAGGAGTTAGGACTCAAGAACTGAAATATGAGGAATATGTGAAGAATATAGAGATGTAGAATCTGTAAAAGAAAATGAATGAAAGCATACAAGAGCTGCTTTCAAATATTTGAGGGATTCTTATAACAAAGAAGTAATGCATTAAATCTCTAGAAGCTCAGAGAACAGACTTGGAACCAAGGGGCAGATGGTAGTGGAAAACTCCTGATTACTTACCTGTGCTGATTTCATAAAGGTGATTAATAAGGGGGTAATTATTATTATTTATAGCATTATTTTGGGTATGAAAATAAGCCAGGGACTGGATTTAGCTCAGTGGCATAAGCCCTTGCCTGGCAAGCACGAGGTCGTGAGTTCAATCCCCTGTACAAAAAAAAAAAAAAAAAAAAAGAAGAAGAAGAAAGAAAATAAGGCAAAACTCAGGGAACATGAAAGGAATGGAGTTTTTCCAAAAGCCTCCAGAAGTTCATCAGCAAATATGGACACCATCTATGGAACCTCCCTGCCAAAACACAGGACATTACTGAAAAATATGGTAAGTTGCTTTCATACCTGTTCAGTTTGGATCAGAGGTGGTCCTCTGTGGAGGTAGAGAGCTGTGTTAATCCAGATGAATTCTAGATGCTCAAACTCAGTGGAGAGGGGGCCTGATCTGCTTTTAGGCTTGGACTCAACTTCTTTCTTGGACATCTTTGCCCTTCCATTAAGTTCTTTGGCCAGCTGACAGTTCTGTGGCAAACTGTGACTTTTCAGTTCTTTCCTGTGGGGTCTTCATGCCACTGGCTCCTTTGATTGTAAGGTACTCAGAGGAAGCGGCTCCAGGCATCCTTTTGTAGAGCAGGATAGCTTCTCTCCCTTGTGAAGGTTGGAGAGCATCCTTAGAGATGTAACTTGGAGCCAACTGGAGCAGATGCATTGTGTTTTGGTTCTAGGGGAAAGTTCTGGCCACAAGAGAACACATCCAGATGTTTCACATGAATGTATTAACGATCTCCTA